AATTAAGTGCCAAATCTGGGAATCAAACCTTGGCACCGAAAATAATAGCTTCTCAACTGTGTACTAAATCATCCGAAAAATTTAGTAGTTTTTATGAGATAAATACCTACCGTCTTCGTAGGAATTTAACATATATAAATACTTTTTATGGGACTTCTGCTTACCACACTCTACGTTAAAGGAAAACTTCGCGAGGAAACTTACTGATAAACATAAAAAGCATTCTGATTATTTGTGAAGTCCGCCACTAAGACCGAATAACCTAAGCCCAGAGAGCCATCGCCCTGCTGCGGAATACAAGTGCTATATGTTATTATTTATTTATTTATTTATTTACACTTTATTTACAATCTAGTACAAAGGCGGACTTAATGCTAAAGGCATTCTCTACCAGTCAACCTTAGGGTGGTGTAGAGATATCGAAGTAGGTACACAAATATAACGTGTAGAACGAAGACAGGTTATTATTTTAATAAAAGTTGACGGTGAATAAATATAAACGGAAAGTGATGTTTTTTTTAAATATTTCGTTTAATTTACTTCCAAACAAGATGCAAGACGTTATTCCAAGAATCCTTAGCATCGGCCGTCGAGGCACCTGAGGCTTTGAATAGAAGCGAGCGGTATCCGAAATGCCTTCAGTATTGATTTATCTTCGAGGCTGGCAGCCGCAATGGGAAATTGTGCAAAAATTGGCCACAATCATGCGATAGCGTTACGAGGGCCCGTAAAAATTGTCCCAAGCCTGTGTCGTAATGATTTCAAGAGAGTGTACAAGATGTTACTTATGCTTGGGAGACAAAGAAGACGAAAGTTTTTACTACCCTTTAAACGGGTGTTTTTTAGCAGTAGACAAATCGAATATTTTTCTTGTAAAATCGAATACTTTTCTTGTAAAGGGATTTTCTTGCTTTGACTAAGAGTAAGGCTTAGTAAAGGTGTTGACTTTATCTAAAAATAAAGACGCGTATGACATTTTTTTATTTCAAATATTATTTTTAGCTATTCGAGCAGTATATATTTGACCTGAGCCCTGAAGAATCACTAAGAATTTTGTTTAAAGAGATAAAAATATGGACTGTTGATTCTCAGCACATGCAGCAAGATGCTCTAAGAAGTAGGTGTAATTTTTCTATATTGAATAAAGATTATAAATTTGCAATAGTAATATTAACCAATTAATAAAATAATCTTATAAATACATGCCGTGCTGCGAACTTTCTGCATTAACACACGACTAATATTGTTCGAATGACTATTTATATACATACTATTTTTTATTATTATTTATATTTATATACTATTTATAAACGTTATTGAATGATATACTCGAAATGCTTTATTCTGTGGAAAATGTATTTGAAATCTTGCTAGCTCTCTTGATTATAAGATAGTGAAGCCAATGCTCAGGGAGGCTTAAATGTAATAGACACAAATTAAGCTGCCTCATTTGTGCTTCTAAATTATGTTTAACAAGTTTGCTTTGTTGATCTCACTTCGTTCAATTAAGAAGCTTAGACTGTTTTATAACATAGATTATTTTGGATAACTTAGTCAAATAACTTGTCAAAGTTCATTCGGATTTCCCTTCTCGCTTGAGCAATAAATAATCAACAAGGCTTTTCAAACAATTCTATAAGAGTTTAATCCTTTAACTCCGAAGACTTGAAATGAAAACTTTTTATGGTTAACTCTTATTGGGGTTGTGCTCATCACTATCACTATATAGTATAAAAGAAACTCGTTCCTCTCTCTCTCTGTCGCTATGTATGCTTAGATCTTTAAAACTACGCAACGATTCTTGATGCGGTTTTTTTTACTAGATAGAGTGATTCAAGAGGAAGGTTTATATTTATAATACATTGCACCCGTGCGAAGCCGGAGCGGGTAGCTAGTCCATTTATATTTGGATGCCAGAAACATCAGAAGCGTTTGAATACCATCACGTACCCTTCTAAGTGAAGTGGAGTAACGGAAAAGCTCTGGAAGTTAATAACCGTCCGCATTCGCGAAATAACGAACCATATTCACCGAGTTATGGGATGAGAAATATTATTTGTACGGACAACTTAGCTTAACAGCATGTACCGATGTGCTCAATTATCTACGGTTGGTTTTGTCAAATATGCAGTAAATGTCATGTTTACATTGTTATATTATTTACATCAAATCAACGATCTTGCTTCAGCCTAGCTGGGGAAGCACCTACGCGTGCTCTGACGTGTAATCCAATAAACTTACGCCCGTCGCTGCAATTAAGGCATGCCCATCATATTCTAAGTTAAAACGATATTCCCTAATGGAAGAGCATGTTCATTCGCAATTGAATGCTTCGGCCACTTGTGTACTCGATGATATTTGGGACCTTATTGTATTTCATAGACGCAACACAAAGAGCCGTGATAGCTCATTGTCCGGGCGCTCGCTTTTAATTCAATATACTCGGCAACCAGAGTTTGAGCCCCGGTGCTGGCAGCAATGAAATTGGCACAGTGGGTCATATTAGACTATTACTTAACTTTTTAGGATTCCGTACCCAGAGGGTAAAATGGAGCCCTATTACTAAAACTCCGCTGTCTGTCCGTCTGTAACCAGGCTGTATCTCAAGAACAATGATAGACAGTTAAAATTTATTATAAAATATTTTATTACTAAAAAACGTGAGGAAACCTGCATATTCTTCGAAATAACAACAAAAAGAAATATTTCGAAGATAATATGTGAAGTCCGCCAATCCGCAGTGGGCCGCGTGGTAGACTATCAGGGCCCTCCGTATAGAGGGAGGTCTTTGCCCAGCAGTGGGACATGTACAGGCATGTACAGGTACATTATTTTTTCTCAATTAGGTGGTAGTTTTGATTTTAATGTTTGTTACCTCAGATCTCCGTCGTTTATAAATCGATTTTTCCTCCTTAATTAATCCTTTTCAAATCAACTAGAAAATGTACGGTGAGAGTTTGGAAGTCGTTTTTTTACTTGCGAATAAAAATGTTTTATTTGTTGTAAAAATACGTTTTTTTCTATAATTATAGTATCGCAAGTTAGGTAATATAGGGCATCTGGTTTATGTTAGCAACCTTGAATTTCACCGCAACCGAATTCCAACCACATTAAAAAATCACGTATTTGAGCCTAACTCCTTCACCGCTGACCACGTGATAATTGTGTTATACTGAAGTATTTTTAATTTCCAATTATGACACCTTCATTTCTGTTGTTTTCATGAATAATGGACACTAATGGACAATAGAGACATTTTTATCGAAAAAAAAAAAAACACCGTGGATTTTTTGTTATTGTAGACTCGCGCTATATAAGTGATTTATCGCTATAGTGTGTGTTCTTGTAAATTTATTTGTCCAATATTTAAAACATTAAAATAAAAAAAAATTCTAACTACAATCATTATATAGATAGTATAATTAAATCAGATCATAATGACGATTTAATCACGGAATTTATTCGTTAAGCTACAAAGGGAAAACTACTTCATATTGATCATATATATATTAAAAAAAACAAAAAAGTAGCGCACAATCCTTTTCATTATTTTCCTTTATAGATGTGTTTGCTTTTCTATCGTATTATGTAAATACACATTTAGCTAATTTTAAGCTACCCTTTTTGCGGGTAGAATTAAAAGAGCGGTCTCGCCCGACTTAAAGCTTAAAATAATTCCAAGTCCCTTCCACATTTTCCCCCTCATAAACTGCTCTGAAAACTGGTCTTTGTTCGTTCAAATGAGGTCAGCTGGAACGCCTACGAGTCGCTCCCGTCGTGGTGCGTTACAGCACTGATGTTCTCCACAAATCATTTATTTAATAAAACAAATTGCGATAGATATAGGACTTGGATATTTAACATAAAAGTGTATTTGGGTAGTCCCAACGACCACTACAAACTAGAAGATATATTGCAGTCAAATAACTTGCTTAATAAACGGTGATAATATTGCGCGGATAGCTCAACAGTTAAATGGTCACCTTGGCACTGCCATCGCCCGCCTTATTGGCTTCGATTCTCGCGCGGGAAATTAGCGGGATACGAGTTTCGGTGCACTTTGTGTATGTGACTTTCACATTGCTGGAACTTTCCGTGCCACGGGAGAGTTCCTGTTGCAGGCGTTGCTTTTTTTTTAAAGACGAAAGAAGAATAGGTGGCCGTTCGATTTGGTTTAATGTCAAGCATCGTGAATCTAAAAAAAAAACGGGCCGAAGTTAACGTTAATGTTACACGTCATTAATATAAATTTGAGCACAAGCCAATACTAAGGCATCGATTGATGTATTATTTCGTGGCAAACGACCTCGCCCTCCGATTCGTATGCTGAGATGCCCGAGGGTCACGTAGCACAGGACGAAGCAGACTTGTAATATACAACACGACAAACAAGCACAGATTTGCATATGCTGCTTTGTACGTAAAAGCTATGCTCAGATTTCTACGATATACATAAGAAAATGTAATAGGCTACGCCCGGTTACTGAAACACTGATTGATCATCGTAGAAGTTAACCAATCAGCTGTCAAATGGCTTTTCAAATGTTATTTAAGCTGTCAAAAGGATGGTTAAACTCTCTAAATTGATCAGAATGATGATTTACGATGATCAGTGTTTCAGAAACCGGGCGTTAGAAAAACTATCAGTTACCAACTAATCAATTTTTTTATGTATTCAGTTTACCTGCAGATGATACAATAAAACTTTCTTAATCATACACAATAATCTAACTAAATAAACTAAATGCTCATCAAAATTATAGGCTATTACAAGATAAATTTACGTATACATAATGACGTTCCAACTCTGAATTCCTTTTGATCGTCAACCCGCTTTAAGCATCCAATTTTGTACATAATCAATCTCAATGTTATGTACAGTCTTCTGAGAGTCTCCAAGCCTGATGAGATGCCGCCACATAATACACATGACAATTCTCATCTTTTCGACCGGTCTTCAGAGAGTCTCCAAGGCTGATGGGGGGTGCTCCCGTTCGCAGATGTACGCGGGGGCGCTCCTGGCGACCGCTGCCCGCCTGGCGTGGGACCCCAGCACGTATACCTGGTTCCGCTTCTTCTGCGCCGCCCAGTACCGGGTGTCTTCAGCGTACGTGCTGGCGGCGGGGCTGTGGTTGGCCGCGCTCGTCTACATCGCGGCGGCGGCGCGGCGCACCACCTGCCTCCACATAGTGAGTACGCAGTATTTTTATATATTTTTTTTAATGTGAAAAGTTGCCAAGCGAGCAGGCGGTTCACCCGATGTTAAGTGAATACCGCCCATGGACATCTCGTACACCCGGGGGTTACAGATGCGTTGACAACCTTTTGAATATTGGGCTCCGGCTACTCACCAGACGAAACGCGAAAGTATTATAATTCCACTTCACGCCGGTCTTATGTAGGTCGTGGTGCTTACCCCGACGAGCCAGCCCATTATTTTATGGATGAAATGGGGCAGACGGACAGAAGGCTCAACTTTTGGTAGCGTCCATCAACGTAGCAAGCGAGCTGGTTCACCTGATATTAAGTGATAACTGAGGACTACGTAAATTTGCACACCCCTTAGTGGCAGATGCGTTGCCACCTTTAAAGAGGTCTCAAGTTACGTCACTCACCAGACGAAATGCGGAAGTATAATACTTCTACTTCACGCCGGCCTTCTATGAGGTCGTGGTAGTTCCCGGACGGACCTGCCCATTCGTGCAACAACGAAAACTGTTGGCGGCGGCTATCACTTAATATCGGGTGAACAGGCAGCCCGTTTGCTTATACCTCCCCACATAAATGACCATTTCGTTACTAACGAAAAACAAAATCGACTTCAAGTATCACGCTCTGTATTTATTTTGTAATTGATTTACCTAAGTATCTCCGCAAACCCTGATAAGAAATTAATATGGGACCGCATGGGAAGCACCAGCTTTCAAATAAAAAAAAGGATCATCAAAATCAAAAGTTCTGAGGAAACAAGCATAAAAATAGTCGAATTGAGAACCTCCTTTTGAAGTCGGTTAAAAAAATGGGTGCGCGTACTTATGTACCCGCGTGCGAAGCTATACTTCTTTGACATCATTAAAAATAGTTTTTAATTGTATGCAAATAAATAATTACAATAAAATAATAGAAAGACTGGAAAAGGATATAAATACTATAAAATTATGAAAGCGCCATCTACATTCTTTATTGAGAACTGTAACGGGCGAATGTGATTGAGAATATGCTGCCATGTTTAAAAAAATAAGCCGTTTAGCGAGCAGCTTCAGGTAGGTGTTTTATTTTTGTGTTACAGTGATGCGCTCGTATCTTAAAATGTCACTCATTAATATTGATAACGCGCCTAAAGAAGTATAACTTCAAAAATAATGTCAAAAATAACAATGTTGAAGACTCCAACCAGTGATAAGGCCTTTTTGACCTACTTGTTAGGTCCTCAGTAATTGGTGTCTAAAATGCTTACGCGATACGTAATTACATTCATAATTTATGTCATATTCATTTAACTTTATTCAGATTAGCATAAAAAAATTCCTTTTTTTCCGACCTCCCACACTACGCGATGCCTGTCCTCTGGGACTGAGTTAATTACGATAAGACAAAAGAGGGCTATTCGGTTTTGACTAGACGTCTCGTTTGCTCTAAATTTACCCGTAATTTATTAAAATTTAAATGAAGGGAATGTCAGGCTTATTAAATTAAAACGTTGTTACAGGCTCATTAAATAGAAGATATTTTAAAATTCTGGGAGATAATGTTTATCGTTTTACTTGTTTGAAAACAACGAATTTCAAACGCTCGGTAGTTTGTATAATGTTTTTTTTTTAATAATTTAATTTATTTGTAATATATATTATGTAGAAACAGCCTTCTGCACTTCTCCATGTAAATTTGAACTGTTCAAAATTAAAAATCCTTCGTCCGCGTTATTTTCGTAAAAGAGGTCTATAGGTTTTTAATAATAATAATAAAATATCTTTATTCACATAGACGCTTGCGTTTTCTTATTAAACGTCAAAATTTTACAAAAAAATTAACACGTTCGTAAGTTGAGAAGAAACCAGCAAGAAACTCAACAGTTGCTCTTTTCTTAAAAAATCAGTTTACAATATAATAGTACAGGTATAATAGTCTTGTTTTAGCCTACGTGAGTATCAACATTATTAACCCCACACATTGGCGTCGACAAGATAGTCGGCAATTGTATAATAGGCTTTAGCCATATTTTTTTTTTTTTTTTTTTTTTATGGGAAAAGTTGTCAAACGAGCAGACGTCTCACCTGATGTTAAGTGAATACCGCCGCCCATGGACATCTGCTACACTCGAGGGTTACAGATGCGTTGACAACCTTTGAAAATTGGGCTCCGGCTACCTCACTCACCAGACGAAACGCGAAAGTATTTGTCATACTTCCACTTTACGCCGGTCTTCTGTGAGGTCGTGGTACTTACCCGGACGGGCCTACCCATTCGTGCAACAGCCGAGGCTGCTGCGTGGCCCTCCCACCGTAAAAGTGTTAATAATTAGTTTATACTACCGCCATAAGTTTATTTTTAATTTTTCGTTTAGATTCATCATGTTTTGCTTCACATATTTACGTATACAGTTTCATGATCATCATTTCAGTCTGTTTGAGTCCACTGCTGAACATAGACCTCCCCCACAGACTGCCACGAAGTACGATATTGAGTCACCTGCATCCATCGACTTCCCGCACATTTGCACAGGTCGTCACTCCATCTAGTGGGGGGTCGTCTCACACTGCGATGGCAATTAGACAATTAGACGATACTACAGCACAAATGAATTTTAGTATCGACTTCTATTCTTTGATGATAACAATTATATAATAAAATAATAAGTGGAGACATCGGATTTAGTATCATACATATTCCTTGAAATAAGAGAAATAAGAGTTGTGAAAATAAAAAATATCTTTGATCGGAGTTCTGAAAATATCACAACTGTGTCGGGTTAGCTAAATCGGCGCTTAGTTAAATCGCAATTTTTAGGTCGCGATTTTTATTTTTTAAATTGAAGAATTCAATTAAAATTATTTACCGCTAAAAATACATCAGAAGAACAGTAATCTATTTTCACAGAGTCCTATAATTAAATAAATAGGATCGGTTTGAACTTTCTATTATTATAGTTCGTTTTCAGTGTGAAACTGCTTCGTTTATCGTCACTTTATTATTGGAGATTGAAGTTCTTCTGTAAATATGAAGAAATCTAATTATCAACTGATCCAATTCAAATAAGTATTAGTGTATGATTCCCATGAATGATGAAGTTTTAATCCCTGGGACTGAAAGAACGTATCTACCACTAAAGATAAAAACATCAGTGATTAAATAATAATAAAATTTTGTACTTATAAAAAAACAATAAAGAAAAGATTAGTACTTCCCGATATTTCTGAAATAAAAAAGATGTACCCATTTATAATATTTGTAAATAGATCAAGAGTTGTGGACGGGTGTAAATCGTAACAACTAACGTCGTGGAGCTGGCGAGTGAGGTATCCTCGCGTGTCCTCACGCTATTAACGATAATGATTGGGGAAAACCGTTCGAGGATTATTGATCAATTGGTTTACGAAATATCTTGTTTAAGAAAATTAAAAACGCGGCCTATTCATGTCACGGTGATGGTCAAGTTTATTTTTATAACGTCTGTAGTAAGTTGTTTTATAAATCAGGAACTAACTTACGATACGTTTTTTAAGACATTAACGCCCGGTTTCTGAAACACTGATCATCGTAATGTCAACTAATCAGCTGTCAAATTGCTTTTCAAATTTCATTTTAGTTGCCAAAAGGACGGTTAAACTCTGAATTGACCAGAATGATCAATCAGAACGATCAATCCAGAGTTTAACCATTCTTTTGGACAGAGTATTTAATTTTGTTAAGGGAAAAAGACCAGTTACAGGAAACCGTCAATGAGTTTGACCAATGCAGAAAGGAGTATGAGGAAGCTCTCACACTCAATTCTGCACTGAAATTGCAATTACACGAGGCCAGTATACAAATTTCACAGTTAAATTGTTACATAGACAACCAAAAGGCCTGCCAGACTCAGAGCCTGTTCAATGAGCTGGTCAATTTGCAGCCATCTTGTAACCCTCAAAATGCATGTACTGTAATAGACTTGACTAGCGATGATTGTACAACATCAAGATCAAAAACAAGAATCCCATGCAGCAGAAATAAATTCAGGAAATATGTAAAAATTAATAAATATATTACTAAAGTTCAGAAATTAATTAAAAGTAAAATTAATACTAAAAACTATGTAAAACTTTGTAAAGAGAAACAACACTTAATTTCTACAGTAAAACAGTATTCGGTTGAGGTGGATAATATTAGAATTAGCTATGAGGCTGACATAGAAGGACTTAACTCTGAAATTTTAGAATTATATAACTCTCTTACAATCATAACAAATAAATATAAATCGGCCCAAAAGGAGATTTCTGAGCACATTTTGGCTGTGGAAGAGCTGGTTATGTTATGTAAGCATAATGAGGAGCGCTTTGAGTCTTTGTCAAAAAAATTCTGTGAGTGTCAGCGCTCAATGCCAGTTCTTTCGCAGACGGATTGTGAAAATATTGTTAGTCATAATAGCTTGACTGGCAAAGCTGATCTCTATGGCGGTTCCATAGCTAAAGATATGAATTCAATTAAGAATAATATTATTGTTTATAGTGATGACTTAGGTAAAAATATTGGCCCATTAATAAATGAAACTTTTAAGGGCCAAATTACAAATTATTGCATGCCAGGAGCATCATTTAATGACATAATTCAAAAGGTCTTATGTAGTACTTTCTGTCCCAACACCATATTAGTGTTGTTGATAGGGACAAGGGGCAATGTTAACAAAGGACAGTTGTTAAAATACTTGGAAGATGTAAATAATCTAAATGTTCATAAAATTGTCTTGTTTACATTGCCTTATTTAAGGGATATGCCACATGAAAACAAAATAAGATTTGACATTAATTTGTAGTTAAGCAATTTATTCTGTAATAATTCAGTGAATTTGACATGTCAAAATAATGATACTGACAAATTACATATAATTGACATTAATACCATAATTAAAAAATATCTAACAAAAGATAGGTATTTTCTATCAAAATTTAATTTAAGACTGATAGCAAATGCGCTATCTTATTTTTTACATTTTAATTTAGCCAAGCGTTTGGCTACACCATCATCTGCTCCTATTGAGCAGCTTAATAGTTTAATATGTAATTTGGAATCCGTTCCAAATAATTTAAATTAATTATTGAGACAAAAGAGGAAATCTCTTGCAATGACATTTATGTAATGAATTATAAAAAAAAATATTCTATTTCACAGAAAATTTTATGTAATAAAAATTGTTTAAACCTGGTGCATCAAAATATTCAAGGTTTTCAAGGTAAAGATTTAGAAATTGACTTGTTTTTAAATAGCAATGATGTTGATATTTTATGTATTACTGAACATTGGTTAAAAAATAATACCTTTATGTTTAACTTCAGTAGACACCAGGTTGTTAGTTCTTTCAATAGAGAAAAAGTGTTACGTGGTGGCTCTTTAATATTATTAAATAGATATTTATCATAAGGAGCGTAAGGATATTGTGAGCCTCTCTGTTGAGAGAACTATAGAAATGGCTTGTGTTGAGCTTGAGCATCTCATTGTTGTTAGTGTTTACAGACCGCCCTGTGCCTTGTATGAACGTTTTGAAAAAATCATGGAGGAAGTTTTACATAAACTTCATAAACAGAATAAATCTGTCGTCATATGCGGAGACTTTAATATTAATCTCCTAGAAGCTTCTTCCATGAGGATAAGATTCTGCTCATTGTTAAAATCATTTAATCTCTTCAACTTGTTTTTTGAGCCTACAAGAATAACAGAGTCAAGTGCAACATGTATAGATAACATTTTTACAGATGTCAAACCATTGCACAGACTAATAATACATAAATTAAGTTCTGACCATTCAGGGCAGTTTGTCACATTGCCTCTGCACTGTAAAATCCAAGATACTAGGAAAGCTGTGTTTGTTCCGATAAATAAATATCGCAAGGAGAATGTTTTAGAAGTAATTTAATAAAAAAACTACCTATGCTGCCCTACTATGACAATGCTAACGCCTTGTATAGTTCATTATTTAATTTCATACAAATCGAATACAATGCCGTTTTTACTTCTAAAACATTCTCTTTGAACAGTCGCAAGACTTTTAATGAATGGGCAACAGCAGGAATTCACCGCAGTAGACGAAGATTGTATGAAATTTACAGTGAAAGGTCATACAACCATTCTGAGACATTTAAAGATTATGTTAAAAATTACTCAAAAATATTTAAAAAAGTGTGTCTTGCCGCCAAGTCATTACATTTGAGAAATAAAATTAAAAATGCCTCAAATAAAGTAAAAATGACTTGGAACATTATAAATAGTGAAACAGGAAAAACCAAATCACGTAGGTCTGACTACTAACTCAACATTGATAATAAATTTATAACGACTAATCAGGAGGTAGCTGAAGTATTTGAGAATTCTTTAGTGAGATTCCTACTTTAACTACATTGTCGCTGAATTCTTCTCCTGCTGTTGCCGAGACATTACTTAAGGAAAATGTAAGTGCTTGCACCACAATCTTTAAATTTCAGGCTGTATATGCAAAAGATATTATAAAAATGTTTAAGACCATTGAACTTAAGAAAACGGCAGATCTATGGGGAATGTCCGTTGAAGTGACTGCCTCATAATAGATTCAATCGCACCTTATTTGTCAATAATTTTTAACAGTAGTGTAGATTCTGGCGTATTTCCTGATCTCATGAAACACAGTAAAGTCATACCTGTATTTGAATCCGGTAGTACTTCGGACCCCACTAATTTAGACCCATTTCTATACTACCAACACTTAGTAAAATTTTCGAAAAACTTCTTCTTGATCATCTGTTAACACATTTTAACTTAAATAAATTATTACATCACAACCAGTTTGGTTTTACAAGGGGTCGTTCTACAACCGATGCTGGTGTAGAGCTGATCAAACATATATTTGAGGCTTGGGAGAGTTCACAGGATGCTCTGGGTGTCTTTTGTGATCTTTCCAAGGCTTTCGATTGCGTGAATCATGAAACACTGATCAGGAAATTGCGCCATTATGGCATTAAAAGTACCGCGCTTGATCTCATTAAGTCATATCTATCTAATAGAATTCAAAAAGTTGTAATTAATGGTGCTAGTTCTTCTGGGTCGACGGTATCTATGGGCGTTCCGCAGGGCTCGATCCTCGGCCCATTTCTCTTTCTCATTTACATTAATGATCTTCTTACTTAGTAGGGAGTAAACACGATATAGTGTTATTTGCCGATGATACATCATTAATTTTTAAAATCGATCGACAGCTTGTTACACTTGACGAGGTAAATAATGCTATGTCAGAAATAGTCTATTGGTTTAATACTAACAATTTACTATTAAATGGTAATAAAACTAAGTGTATGAAATTTTCAACACCTAATGTTAAACATTTGGGTGCTACCAATGTACTTATAAATGGGGGGGAGTTAGGCCTTGTGGATACGACTGTCTTTCTTGGAATAACTCTCGATGCAAAGCTTCAATGGGGTCCCCATATATCCAAACTTGCGAATAGACTAAGTTCTGCAGCGTATGCTATAAGGAAAATAAGATGTCTAACTGATGTAACAACGGCTAGAATTGTGTATTTTAGTTACTTCCATAGCATAATGTCATATGGTATTTTGCTATGGGGGCACGCGGCCCATATAGAAACAATTTTTATTTTGCAAAAAAGGGCCATAAGAACTATTTATAATCTAGATTTGAATGCATCTTTGAGAGAGAAGTTTAAAGAAATAAATATATTAACCTTAGCCTCTCAATATATATATGAAATGTTATGTATGTGCGTAGAAATATTAATAATTTTGATAAGAATACTGATATACATAATGTGAACACTAGGAACAAACACAAGCTTGTAATGCCAGTTACTAGACTCCATAGTAAGTAAGTAACTCGTTCATGGGGCGGTGTATACGCTTTTACAACAAAATCCCAGTAAATGCGCAAAACCTGCCTATTAACAGGTTTAAGAAATTTATTAAAGAAAAACTTTATAAAAAGGGTTATTATAATACAAATGAATACATTAATGACAATAACCCCTGGAATGAGTTGATCGCCCCCAAGCCATTTCTAAAAGAAAAAAAATCAGTTGTATATATTTGAATTTTTTGTTAAGAAAACAAAAAAGAATTACAAAAAAGAGGATACCTATGGAGTTTCTTTCGCCTGTTTCTTCTCCGCTAGAGGAACCTCATTACGAAACGGTGGTAGATTTAAAAAAAAATATGACTATTGACAAATGAGATGTAAGTTTCTTATGTCGATGAATAAATGATTTTGATTTCTTTTTTTGATTTTTTGGCAACTAAAATGAAATTTAAAAAGCAATTTGACGGCTGATTAGTTGACATTACGATGATCAGTGTTTCAGAAACAGGCCGTAAGACATTTAATCCGACACTTCATCTCCACACATATTACATTTGTTTACAATGTTTATTAAGAACAAAAACAAAATAACAAACTAAAAAAAAAAAATAAAATAAATTAAATAACCTAAGCGTAATTACAAGAGGAAACAAATAATAATAAGCGTTTGTAGCAAATCGTATTAGTAATCAGGATTTGTGATAATATTGCTGTGTATATTTTTATTTCTACTTTATATGTATTTATGAACGATTATTTTTTTATATTAATTAATAATCTAGTAATATTTCTCATATAAAAGTACTCCTTCGTAACATTGTAACTGTTGATAATTCCTAACAGGGTTTGTGTTAGGATTACTTTAATAATGTCAGTGGAGGTCTAGCGTTGTGATTCAACTCGCTATATGTGCATTTTTTTTTCTTTTCATGTGCGCAAAGTCCATCTTCGCATATTTGAGTCATACTTGAGTTGGGTGGGGCGAAACAAATAAACTTACAAACTCAGATAAACTTGCACAATGCCTGTGTAGAATTAGTGTGTTTGACACGGACTAATTTCATCTAGCCTGTCCTGACCTGAAAAAAGTTTAGAGCTCATACCTCAAATCTTTGAGACTAGAACATCTTATCTGCGCTCATGGCACAGTGGTTAAGAGTGGTTACACGGATGCGTAGTATTTGTTTTTTTTTTAATTTATTTATATTAATAATAAAACGATACTGTGTACGCAATCCACCCAATATTATTAAAACCGCCTATCTACAACACCAGAAAAAACGCAAAAATATAATAATTCTACTCCACGCTTTCTTCCGTGAGGGATAATTCCCCGGACGAGCCTGTCCATTCAAAAATGAAATCAAAATCAAAAATATATTTATTCACATAGACACTTGCGCGTTCTTATGAAATGTCAAAAATTTTACATAAAAATTAATACGTCCGTAAGTTACCACCGTACCATTCGTGCAACAACGGCAGCTTCTGCATGGCCCGAACAAAGTTACATCATGTGAAATAAGTCTTTATGTCCGCGTCTACTATATGTTCGAATGAAAAGGAAGTATGTAAGAAGTTATACTTCTTCAGCGTAAAGACACTAAATGCAATTGATAACGGTTCATTTAAATACCTTGATTTATTGGTAAATGTCAAAGAAGTTATTATTGTTTGCCAAGATTAAATTGGCTAACAATAACTTGATGTTTTAATAAAGATGACGCATGTCTATACTGCGCGGCGTTTAAAAATGTTCCACTTTACATTGTAGTATGACATATATAAGTGAATGTGAAAGATGATATAGAACGTATGACGCGGGAAGGGATAGCAGTCTATAGCATTGCAATCTAATTACACTCATTGGTGTAATTTCAGTGCCTCAGTGCCTAGTGTAATATCTACCTCGTATTTGTTTATAATATCCTTGAGTATTCTGCGTTACAGTACGCGGGGGGAGTGGCGTGCCTTGCCCTGAGCGAGGTAGCGTACGGAGCGTGGATGGCGGCATCCCTCGCGGCGTGGTGGCGCACCGCCCCGCAGGCCGAGTTGGCGCGGCGCGCAATGGACCTCATGCACGACCTGAAACCCGCCCTTCTAGCGGTCGAGCGGTATAGGGACATCGCCCGGCCCCTCTACGACATCATCGAGGTGACAATGCTGCCATTTCTCATCTTTCTCTATTAAATAGCCATGATAGCTCAGTGTCCGGGCGCTCGCCTTTAATTCAATATATATTCGAGCAACCTGAGTTCGATCCCCGGTGCCGGCACCAATGAAATTGTTAAGTTTCAGTGCCGAATTTTCACGTGCTCAGCGGTGAAGGAAAATATCGTGAGGAAACCTGCATATTTTCGAAATAATAACAAAATAAAAGATATGTGAAGTCCGCCAATCCGCAGTGGGGCTGCGTGGTGGACTATGCCCTGATACCCTCTGTATAGAGGAGGCCTTTGCCCAGCAGTGGGACACGTATAGGCTGTTTTGTCCGTAGAATGTTAATGTTTTTCTAGTTAAAAGCAAAACAGAATCCGTTATTTTTGGAGATTTCCTCACAAACTAGAAAAAGTACTTTATACTTATGATATCTTAATTTTTTTTAATTTTCGTCTTATAATATTATAAAATATACAGTAAAACTAAGCCTATGTTTACTTACACCAAATAGAATATAGTTCTAACATGTGTTTTATATTAGGTTCTTTATCAATTAGTAATTGTATAGTGGAAATTAAATCGACCCCGACCATACAAACTTGGTAACTTGTGCCAAGATCGCACAAGTGCGAATATTAACGCGTTTGGCCATTGTTCAAAAGTGCATGTAATTTTCAGCCATGGATACAAGATTAACTCTACCCTGAAATTTTTGTCATCAAATAGACCGAAGATACTTGTTTTCTAACAATGATAGCTGTTTTCACAATAGCTTCTTATATGGTTAATCGTAAAAATTAAAATTTCAATGCTTCAAACAATAAGAATTGATTTTGCTCAAAGTTGACTTTGATAACTGGCGAACTTTGTGAATCATTGTTTTTATCTTTACATCATTTGGAATAATCGACGTTGTATTTCGTTTATCATAAAACCTATATCACTTAACTTATTGCTTCGTGACAGATAAAAATTCAAAACGAAATCCCTGATTACTTCATTAATATTAGAGAAAATTCAACGGATATATATTGTGATTCTGCCACAGAGGCATACAATAGTAATTCCAAATTTCTATATAAATAAATTTTTCAAAATTATTTTATTTACACCATTAAAATCGAAAGAACGAATTCTACATAATGGTATAAAAAAAGTCCTACGACGCCTTATTTACAAAATATCCAATAGTATATGACATCATAACAAATAATTCATTCTTGAATTCTTGGATTCACTCACGCGCTCACCTGTAAAGGCCAATGGCGAAATCTTATGTAGGAAAAAATTAAGCGTTTAAAAAATTGATATTCAGGCTTCTAAATATAATTATTTTCCACGATTTTTCGGCACATTAACTTCAGTTGTTAAACTATGTATAAAAATATGTGTTTATTAACAACTCAATTGACTTTTTTGAGCTCCATTTTAGTTTCATAAGGTTGCGAGTAACGACTTATGACCAGGGTGGGATTTTACTGTAATTATAGTATTTATACTATAATTTAATGCTATATATACTACTATATACTATCCATATTGAGGGAAATATACTATAATTTTGTTACTTTACATAAAAGATCAATATAAATGCCAATCCAACATTAAAAGAGGTTTATTGGGTTGTAATAGCGTTGTAATGTTTTCAAGAATACAAAGTGGATATATCCATATGTCATTGTCAGTTATTACCACGAATTATTTATTTATCAATGAAATGTTTACGGGGAATTCCCGTAAAATTCTTTTTTCTATACTTTGCTTGTTGAAGAGTATCTTTGCACTATTGTGTGCATATTGCACTATGAGGTATGTATTAGAGTTCATAGATGTCTAATAGTAAGACTAATTTCCTAAACTTGGATAAAAATAAATGTAATCCAAAGTCGCGATTTAATTGTGTTGTGAGGCTATCAAAGATGGTAAAAAAGTGGAATTTGTACTGAATTTATTCCTACTCAGGATATGTTAAAAAAATTAAATTCCAAGGTTGAAACTAATGTTGAAGAATTGATAAACTTGGAGGATGAGTAAATTGATTCCTGTAAAATCAAAATAATAAAGTGTACTATAAGTAATTTCTTTTACAAATTTTTTGTACCTTTTCAATTTTTTGTACTATCTTTTTCATCATACCTAAATCCAATCCTGCTTTTGACATTGACATGTTAATTTGCACCAATCTGTCATTTATTATTCAATATTCACTGCTTTTTTTGCCTTGTGTACTTATAAGAATAAGATAAATGTGATTTTCCTATTTTTATACAACCCATACTGCATATCGGAGTCAGATTTTGCTTCGCTACGTATTGCCATTTGTGCATGCCCAAGGACTTCGATTAATTGCTTGCATGGCCACCTTAAGCTGTTACGTTGGACTATTGGATGTGCTTTAATATTTCGATTAGTTGTTAGTTTGTTTACTATTGTTAAAATAGCGACACAAATCCTGTGTATCAACTGCAACATATGTGTTAGTAAACTATTTTGTTATCCTACCCTGGTGCACAATACAAGAGCCACAGCCACAGAAAAGCTGTTATAAACGCATTGTCGCGTTGTCAACGCATCTGCAATCCTCGAGTGTAGCAAATGTCCATGGGCGGCGGTATTCACTTAACATCAGGTGAACCGTCTGTTCGCTTGGCAACCTTTCACATAAAAAAAATATATTATATATACAAATAATAAGTGGATATGGCACTAGCGCAACTGGGGCATTCAAATTACGCCAATTTGTATATAAACATTGCAACTTTATAGACTGCTATCTCTTTCCGTATCATACGTTCTATATCATCTGTCACATTCGCTTATATATGTCAAATAATGTAAAGCGTAACAATTTTTAAACGCCGCACAGTATAACCTCAAAATAAAAATATTGAAAATGTAATATCTTTATTGTTAGACTTTCTCCAGTTAAAATTCTTAATATAAAGTTGCTTAAGAGAGAGTAATGAACATTTTTAGATATTTTTGAACCTCTAAACGCTAAAATTTTAACCCAACTAAAGTCATGTATGGGAACCTGCCATTGTCCTTTGTGTTTTGTCACACAATGCTGTTTACATCTGAGCTACATAATTAACAGTCATGATCGTTCCTAGAGGTCCTGTCCTCTGTTGGGATCCTCTCCATGCCGTCTGTCGATCCTTATTTGTTGACTGGATCATTTTATTTATACTAATGAAGTAATAGTGAGAAATAATACTAAACACAATAATTACTATTCATTATCCTTACTAATATTATAAAGGCGAAAGTATGTATGTATGGATGGATGTTTGATACTCTTTCACGCAAATACTACTGAATGGATTTTAATGAAACTTTACAATAATATAGCTTATACATCAGAACAAGACATAGGCATCTATATACATATTTTATGTATATGTCTTTCTGTCTGAATGTTACGCCTTCAGCCTATTCTACGCAGACGTAGTCGCGGGCAGCAGCTGGTATATTATACAGCGTGTCGTTACCATCGCGACAATAAATGAACGAATAATAAGGGGGTTAACTTTTTAAAGTTGTATTAAACATTTAAATTCTTTAAACATCAATATTTACAGAGTTATTAAATTTTCCAAAACAAAGAATTTTAGAACAGCCTTACCTATAAAAACGTAACGTAAAGTTCATTTGTAAAGGTCACAAAGCATATGAATGGGTTGAATGAATTTAAAAGAGACAAAACATACTGTTAGAAGGAGAGGCTTGTAATACGACGCTGTGGCGCGAGTTGTATAGGAAGTTACAATTTTTTTTTTCTTTTTTACTTAATTAGTTTGTTTGAAAAATATTTTTTTTAATTATGGATCAATTACAATTACAATTACAATTATTTATTTGCCATCTAAGTTTACATTATATAAATAGGTGTTAGATTTATACAGAAACTTAGATGCCTTTTCCAGGCACTGCAAGTTTTTTAATGGACACTGCTCCTTTAATTAAGTTAATGAATATAGAAAATGAACACAAAATGAATATAATAAAAAGAAAGAAAAAAAAGAAAAATCTTGTTTAATGTTAATATTTTTTTATGATTATTGGCAAGTAGCGTTAGAAGTGTGTTCATTTATTGTCGCGATGGTAACGACACGCTGTATAATGAATAGCAATTATTGTTATTCTATTTAGTAGTGCTATATATTTTAGTCCTATTTATTTATATATTTGTAATGTTATTTCACAGGAGGTAGAGAGGGAAGCGCCTAACAACGCTGTGGTGATCGTTATCTTCGGTGCCTTCGGGATGGTGTTGCAGGTCTGCATTGTTGCTTCCTTTACGTGACAAGGTGGTATGCTAACTGTCCATGGACATCTGAAACTCGAGGCGGAATGCTCAACATTTTTTTTAAATTAACACGCATCAATTGAAATCGCGCTTCGTTTCGAATTTGCCCTCCAGATGTTTCGAACATATCTGCGAAACTTTATTAGCGGATATCGTGTTTTATATCGAATCTACGTTGTTGACACTACGGTATCCTTAATCAGCGGCCAGACGGGGCTAGTGATGTTGGGAGGGGGCTCAGATTAAAGGGATTTTTTTTTACCTTTGATTTAGTTATAGTTTGAAGTAGGAAAAATACAGTCGGTGTTATAGTTAATGTTTGCTACCGTCAGATCTTTGTCTACGGATATCTTGATAATTAAGATATCCGTAGACATTAATAGCTACAAGTAAATATGCTGTGTATGTGTGTGCTGTAAAAACAAAAAATCATTATATGCTGTCATGTTTCATTTGTACATTCACCAACTATACCGTTTTGATGACTCAGTGGCACAGTTGCCAAAGTATTGGCTTCGGCGTCGGGGGTCGTGGGTTCGATTCCCACACGGGACAATTATTTGGGTGACCCACAGATAGTTGTCACGCATCTGGGTGTTTGTCCACGTGAAATTTATGTTTGTATAACATCCTTACAACACAGGATAATGTTATCCTAAAGTAGGGACAATGTTTTAAAAAAAAAAAAGAAGAAAGAAAGAACTATAAAAGGCCGTTTAACAATCAATTTATTTATTTCAGATAGCCGCATTCGTGATGGCCCGCCGTTTGGCGCGCAGACGGGCAAACGAGGCGCGGGGGCAGCGGGGCTGCGCGAGCGAGACGGAGCTAGAGAAGCCGTCGTGCGCGCCAGAAGAGGACAGCGATAGCGACGCCGCGCGCGAGCCGCCGCCCGGCTGGCGGAAGAAGGCCAACCTGCGGATGTATACAATACTCGACAAGATTTTCTAGCAGGTAAATAACTCACGTTGTACTTATTGACATTATGCTAGCTGTATGGGCTAAGCTAGGCTTTACTGAGTCGTGCTAGGGACAAGATTTTGCAGCATATGCCGCAGTTAAATGTGTGAGGAGAGCGGAGTATACAGCGCGCTCGCTTGCACTTTAGTCTTGGCAACTAGTGATGTATGGCGCTCATATCGATGATATTATCGATAGCATTACAGAAAAAACAATATTTATATAAATATGCGTCCTTTTCGTTAATTACGGTATCTGAATAAGAACCCCGACGGATATTTTAACGATAGCTTGTGTTTTATTGTGTGGGTCAGGTGAAAACAAAAATAAACAAATTGCAAACATAAACTGATTTACCGACAGGTTCGAAACCGAAAGGGTATGTAAATTACTATTGAAAAATGTGATATTGGTTCGAATGTTAATACTATTTGAACAGTTGAAATTGTTATTGCGATGACAATGAATACAATTAGTTAATTTCAAGAGGCCTTTCAGGCCCAACCAAATAGGATTTCCTACTATATTTAAGCTATTCATTTTATAATTTTTTGCTTTATTGTATACTGGTATTTTTACTAGTAGTTTTTATGTTGGTGAACTCAATAAATTAGAACGCCACAATGGCTATCAGCGCCACGGAAAGGTCCTTTCGGAACGGAACCGTGAACTTTGCGTTCTAGCTCTGTCTCGGGGGCGGTGCTACAATTCATTCATCCAGTAGATAGTTAACTCAACTGCAGTATTTGCCATGCGTGATTTGAATTCAGGACGAGTTGGACCCGGGCCCTGCGGCCCGTGGCGGGACGCGGGCGCGGGGGAGGGGGAGGGGGAGGGGCCGCGCCGCGGGAGGGGCAGGGGGCACGCGCACGGAGCCGAAGGTGGCGAGGGACGCTCGTTGGGACGCGGTGAACGCGCAGGTGCGCGCGCGAGGGGCGCCCCGCCCTCGGAAAGCGCCCCCCGCCGCCCCCGCTCCGCCGCCGCCCCCGCACGCGGCGCTGCTCATCCTGCACGCGGAACTGTAGCCGCCACTGCCACGCCACGACAAGTCTTCCATCTCGTCAGCATCCGACTACTAACTCTTACGTTAGCCGCGCCTAGATCAAAATTGATGTTCCAGTAAAAGCGATCGTTCCTCGGTTTTATCACACAATATAAACTAAGGTTAAGGATTGGTCTAAACTATTCGTAAGTACTAACTTTAAAAAACAAAAAAATAAGTTAAAACGACCATTCCTCGCTTCTATCACAAAACAAAATAAACTTTGGTCTATGTCTTTTCCCTTTTTTGGACACTAAGCTCTTATCTGGATAACCTTAGACACAAAAAGACGGAAAGGTTTGTGTCAATTGATTTTTGAACTGTCAGTTTTTAAAAAAAAATAGGGTAAACTAATTATGAATAGTCTGTATGGAGAAATCCCAAGATGCTAAATTGTAATAATAAAACTGTCAGTTTTCATCTAGGCGTGCGATATAATCGAATGCATTTTTTTACTCCAATTAAAAATCGTTCATACGAATTATCCTAAGTAGACGTCGGGCGTAACTAGAACGTAAGAAAAACCATATCAATGTTAAAATGACTTGTATTTCGACTTCTAGTTATAATAACGTTCGTAACGCACTATTTGTTTAGTGCGTGTTATTTACTAAATTGTTTCTAATTATTAATAGGTTATTTTTATACCCGTTTTGTAAGTTAAGTATGGTGATATATCTTCTCACTCTTCTCCGACTAAAGGTCAATAATTCTTGGATATTCTAAAGTTGTTTCTTCTTCAAGAGATTGTGTAAACCGATAGTTATATATTGAAAAACACAAAGAAAATATAATATTAAATATAGTTCAATTATGAAAGTTAATATGGTTACGAGACTAATTGAGACAGAGGCTGGGCTAGGGTTTGAATTTTCTGAAATGTTCTAGATCTTGTTATTTATGTAGCCAATTTTATACAAACGTGTTTTGGCATGTTTATATCCTAATATGAAGATTATACTTCATACGTTTTTGTAACTGCGTAATTAATTATATGAAATTTTATTATTTAAACGATTAAGTAACTGCCTTGCAAATGTTTGAATGAATTCAATCGCACTTAGGTTTACCAACGCTTTACGCTTCACAGAATTTGTACACGTTAATTGTGCTTCTATTATTATCAATAAAATTAAATTAAGGTTGCACGATATTAATTGTGGACCAATAGGTTTATAACATTAACGAAAACAATTTTGTATTATGAATTTGGTCAAATATCTCAGAAATTGTCTTTGGTCACTTCGTAACTGACTAAAAGACGTTATATTACACAATGAAGTGCATTGTTACTTTTTAAGAATTAATGTCACGTTAACTAAACATAAAAACTGCCGTGTTTTATATTTACTATTCGGATTTTTTAATTTAAAAAAAAAAACATTTGTCTATGGTTAGTTGTCATTTACTAGTGGGTCGTTAATTTTTTTTTCACATTGCTGTCACTTTAGCGGGGATTAAATCGGCCACTCTACCTCGTAATTCCATTGTTCTGTGATTTGCTTTATGCGGTAACGAAGAGAATTATTAGTGTGTATTTGTATCGTATGTAGGGAATGCTTCGAGATGTTGGCGGAGGAGCCTTGACGGGTATCTCCATACTTCTGGTGCCAAATAGCTTTAAGGGGATAGCGTTTTGTTGCCATAAATAAGGTTCCGTTGCGGTTGGAGACGTCCTCGGAATATTGTTCCTATCTTTGTTTTAGGAATCCCACAGATTAAAATAGAATCATTAGTATTTGTAGCCAAAATAGTTTTATCTACTAAAAAGGTCTATGTTTCTTTAACAGACAAACAAACATGAATAAATGAATGCATTATTGTAAAAGAACCTTTCTCTTTCAACTATAGCCTGTCTGTAATGGAAAATATATCCGTTTCAAATAACACGTCGATTTAAAGACTTTCTTTCCAAGCATTTCTTTTTCATATTCCTTTACTAATTCTGTGAAATCTGTGCAATTACACTGATGTCGTTTTTAACAATTATGCATTAAAAACATTGCCATATATATATTATATAAAATTAACCAAATCATTTGGTTTGTGTATTTAAGTGGCTCGTGTTAGCTAACTTTTGTCTGAATGTACATCGACCGATATCGATGCGCGGGGTCTCTAGTTGCAACGGGGGTCGTAGGTCGACAATAAGGCGCGGGTTCGATGCCCGCGCGAGACAATAAGGCAGACGCACACGCGTTGTTACTTCACGTGTAACTTAGTACGTAAGGACTTAAAGCAATAAATATGGATATTTTTATACACGACTTGTTTTATTTTATTATTTTCGATTATTGATTATTTTATTGAAGAATCAATGCGGTAATGTCTTAGCAAAAAAAATTCTATTTCGATGATTTTAATGTTATAAATTATATTATACTTACCACCGTTAAGGATTATATTAAAATAATATAATTCTTAACGGTGGTAGGGCCACGCAGCTGCCTCGGCTGTTGCACGAATGTGCAGGCTCGTCCGGATAAGTACCACGAAGACTGGCGTAAAGTGGAAGTATAATACTTTTGTGTTTCGTCTGGTGAGTGAGGTCGACAGAGCCCAATTTTCAAAAGGTTGTCAACGCATCTAGAACATTCGAGTGTAGCAGAGATGTCCATGGGCGGCGGTATTCACTTAACATCAGGTGAACCGTCTGCTCGTTCACCAAATTTTCACATAAAAAAATAATTGAAAAGTATTTATAATTATTAATAAAAAAAATCTATACTACCGCCATATGGGCCACTCATATCGGAACATGACGATTTTTACCCACGTGATTTCAATAAATACACCGCAAACTGCGTTAAGGAACTTGGTTCAAAAAAAAACTTCAGTATCATCATCATTTCAAAATGTTTCAGTCCACTGCTGAACATAGACTGCTACGAAGCAGGATCCTGAGCCACCCGCAGCCATCGAGTTACCTCACATTTGCACTCTACTACTCCATCTAGTGGACGGTCGCACTACATTTCGATGGCCAGTTTTATCGGTTCTACGAGCTATATGACTGGCTCATCGCCACTTCAGCTCACTAATAATCTGAGCTATTTCGGTGACCTTTCTTACTTAAAGAAACATGAAATTAAAAAATGGTATCAGAAAATATCTTATAAGTCGACATGATGGCGGAAATAAACCAATACAAAAGAGCTCATGAGTCGAGGTTACCAGAAACTGTAACCGTCATATATACCGACACACATACACTTCGTATCATCGATACGGTTCCTACAATTTTGGCAATTATCGTTCTATGTGAGCGCAATCATTTGCGATAAGGCACATTCGTTCGGCAGCTGATTCAGAGGGACGCGTACGGGGCACAAAGATAGCGGAGATAAGATACGCACAATACAACAGTTTCGGCCGCAGTGGGGGACAGGACGCCGAGAGAAATGCAGTGCTGAAAGGGAACGTGGGGTGACGACCACGCGGCGGAAGGCAACGACCACAACGCGGTCAAAAGACGACCACGTCGCGGTCAAGTAACGACCACGTCGCGGTCAAGTGACGACCACGTCGCGGTCAAGTGACGACCACGTCGCGGTCAAGTGACGACCACGTCGCGGTGCAGCGACGACCTCGTCGCGACGCAGCATGGCGTGTTGCGCGCGCGCTCTGCCCACTATCTTCCTTCAAGTCAACATGCTGTTAATGGTGTGTGCTTCCAGCAGGTCACTGAAAGCGTGCAAAAAGAAACTTACGCTCTAATACTCCCGTCGTGTATTAAACTTTATTCTCATTTAAAAAAAAAAGTAAAAATCTTGGAGGTCGAAAGGAAGAAAACCCTCCTTGGGTTTTCTTAAAAAAAAACATATCGGTTATGCAAGATTTTTCTTTGTATATAAAGTGGTAATGTTTTCTTCTTGTTTTTAATCTCGAATGGTTCAGTGAACTCGACTTGTGTCATTGTCATAAAATCTTAGTTCTTCAAGTAATACACGTGTACTGGTAAAGGTACGTAATACAGCTTATAAACGTAAGTATTCAGACAAAGAAAGTAAATTATAATATTTCTAGCTCCTTTGTCAATTTTATTGGTGTTTTATGTTACGCGATATTTACTGATAAAATGATAAATAATTATTTTGGTTGATATCAGTTTAAATTTCGAAATATTTCTTTAAACGCAAATGTGTCCAACGACATTTATGTAACTTATTTTTGTGATTGATGAGTGTGTTCCTTTTCGATTCAAAATAAATTCGAACGCCTTCATTCATTATATATTACGTATGTCTCTATTTATAAGATAAACGGGACAGAAGTACACAATAGTTTTGTCCCATGTGGGACTCGGACCCGCATCAGGTCCCATTGGTCGGTTGGTCTGAGCCATTGGACCATCTGTATAGTCGATATAATAGAAAACTACTAGTATTTTATTAGTTACGTTTCCTTGGCTATGTTATCTTTAAACCTAATAAGTGGTAATCTGTAGAGGGCGTATTAGTTTTTCTCCCGTAAAGTCATCCACCAGACGTATTGTAAAATTATGATAATTCTACTTCACGCTGGTCTTCTGCAAGGTCTTGGTACTTCCTCGGACGCTCATTCGTGCAAGAGTGGAAGCTGATGTCTGCAGGGACAGATTTGGAGGTCTTGAGGCCTCGGGGCAACAAAGGAGTGGAGGCCCCTGGGCCCCAAATTATTTTCTATTGATTACTGTTAATATTTAATGTAATCATGTTTGTACAATATACTTGCCCCGGTTGCCCTACCCTAAATCCAGCCTTGCATGCCTGGCACTAACTATTTCATCAAACTTCAGACTCAATTCTATTGTTAAAGCCTACTTCTATTGTTGACAGCTGAAAGACGAAACTTCATATAAATCCGTGGCGCAGTTGTCAAGGTATTGGCTTCGGCGTCGTGGGTTCGATTCCCACAGATAGTTGTTTCGCATCTGGGTGTTTGTCCACGTGAAATGTATGTTTGTTAAACGTCCTTACAACACAGGATCATGTAATCGTACAGTAAGGGCATTGTTTAAAAAAAAACAGTTCAAACCTTTTCATTGTTCTTAAAATTCTTCAAACGTCCCTCATTTTCTTTCACGGTGGAAATCGTGGCTGGTCTACCGTCGTGACCCAAATACTTTGATTTATCGTATATTTGCAAAATATTCTGTTCTTGGCTTTATCTTATTGTCTTGTGTTCAAAATATCGTTCGCGTCGATTCGTTGTTGGCGTTTGTTGATAATGCAATTTTAATTGCGTAAGGATTATGGCTGCGTGCGTGGTTTAAAAGCTTTTCAGTTGCCAATTGTTGTATTAAAATTATAAAAATTATACATTGTACCGTCGATTGAATCGGTGTTCTGTGTTAGAGCCAAGATGTGTGAATAGTAATTCACAAAAGCCCTAATAGAATAAAAATAATAAATAAAATAGAATAAAAGCCTTTCTAATTTGGACTTATAATTGCTGGTGGCTGAATCTTAAGTCTTTCTGTTTACGTTAACATGCTATAATAATAATTGAATTATTCCATATTTTCAGGAATTTCGCAAAATCAATAATATGCAATGGTATTTTCAAATGTCATTTTTTGAACTCGTTTTCGTATCGGGTGTAACTAAGGACCTTAGACTTGTTCTTGACGCCATTCGATTCGAAAAATATATTAAAAGGTTTACATGTGTGTAAAAATATTTAATAAAATTGAATGTAAATGAAATAAAAATGGTTAACGATAGGTATAAGTCATAGCAAATGTATTCTAGCATCTCCGTTTTTTTGTGTGAGAAGGTAGCAAGCGAGCCAGCGTTTCACCCGATGTTAAATGATAACCGCCGCCCATGGACATTTGCAACACGCGTAGGTTAGCAAATGCTGCCATCTTCTAATATAGTGGGCCCCGACTACCACACTCCCCAGACGAAACGCAGAAGTATGCCACTTCCACTTCACGCCGGTCTCCTTTGAGGTCGTGGAACTAACCCGGACGGACCTGCCCATTCGTGCAACAGCCGAAGCTGTTTCGTGGTACCATTGGCCTGGTACCATTCAAGTCATTGTTTTGAGCAAATAAACATTGTTATCACCTGATCGAGATTGAAATGTTGAAAAATTCATGTGTACACGCGTTCTTCATACGTGGGATGTCTTCAGTTGTACGCGGGTGCGGGCTTGGCGACGGCGGCTCGGCTGAAATGGGACCCCAGCACATACGTGGCGCTGCGCGAGATGCTGCCACGGGAGTACCGTGCCGCCGCGGCCATCCTCCTGGCAGGGAGCTTGGCGTTGCTGGTGCTAGCTCATCTCGCGCTGGCGGCGCTCTACTCGCGTAGAGCGAGACGCCTGCTACTCGTTATGGTCAGTGGAAATAGACGGATTTGAAATGAACACCAAAGAGAACTACTTCTGTTTCTTGTACTGTAGCAGAACTACGAAGAAATTTACGTACGTAAATGTACGAATGGTTAGGCTCGTCCGGGCAGCAATAGCACCTAGACCCCCAGAAAACCGACGTGAAATGAAAATTATACTGTTGCGTTTCGTTTGTCTCCGGGGCCCACTTTTGAGGATGACAACACATCTGCAACCTTACAGGTGTTGCAGGCGTGTGAGAGCTTAACAATACTCCACAAAGTCGACTTACATATATGGATAATCTGTTCAATTATAACCAGTTTGTGTTGGGCCTGGTTTTTAAGTGCGAAAAATGTCCGAATTGTTTTCTGCGTAGTAGTTATTCGATTTGTCTATAGTACGTGTTTGTAACGTTAAGTGTAGTTAGCGTGGTTGTGTCCGAACGCAGTACGGACTTTAAGTGCGAAAAATCCTTACTAATCCTACTTCCTGCCAAATAATATAAACGCCAAAGGTTGTATGTATGGATGAATGTTTGTTACTCTTTCACGCAAAAACTACTGAATAGATTTTAATGAAATTCTACAATAATGTAGCTTATACTTCAAAATAACACATAGGCTATAATTTATAAAGATATTGTGTGAATTGTCCAAAATATATGTAATGTCAATAAGTGTCAACTAAGTACGAAAAAAATCAGCCATCTGCGAGATATTCTGGTGTGTAAAAAAACTCATTGCTAATTCCCTTTGGGCGCGCGGGCGAAGCCGCGGTTAACAGCTAGTGCAATAAGTACGTAATATTTGATCAGTCTATAGTGGGTGTTTGTCGAATGAAAAGGGGCTTTGTGCGCAGTATGCGGCGTTAATGGCGGCGATGGTGAGCGCGCAGACCGCGTGGGGCTGGTGGACGGGGGTGCGGGTGGCGGCGTGGGCGCGCTCCGCCCAGGCGGACGAGCTGAGGCGGGCGCTGCAGCTGCGCGAGCACCTCGCCCCCCTGCTGCAGCACCTGGCTCACTGGCACCCCCTTCCGCAGAGGCTGAACACGATCATCAAGGTACCAACGCTGGACTGCTCTTATGCCCGGTCCCTACCTCAAGCAAATCCGTCTGCTGCACGCAAGGATGCGCACACTAGTGCCCGGTTCCTATATTCAACGAGCGGCTGTTAGTTACATAGCTTCGCTACTTTCATAACGGCTTGTAGTTTATTTGCTTTAGACTGCTATCTCTCGACGTATCATACGTTTTACACTGTCACTTTCACTTATATACATGATATAATGTATAGCGAAACTATTTTAAACGTCACGCAGTGTGGACGTCCGTAGTGTATAATTTTAAAGTCACATCAATTGCCTGTCCTAAATGAATTGAGGTTTCATGTACACGTTTGCCTGTTCTTAATGAACGAGGTTTCATGTACACGGGGCATTACTTTTCTTCGCTTTACTTTCCTCGTTAGGAGGCGGAGGCGGACGCGCCAAGCAACGCGTACGTGGCGGTGGCCGCGAGCGCACTCCTGATGGTGCTGCAGCCCGCAGCTGTCGCCCTGGCCTTGCTGCTGGCGGCGAAAACCACAGAGGTGCGTCGCGTCGCAGTCGCCAATACCAGGTAACGTCGAAAAAGATAGCTGCATGTTCCACAGACAGGGCCGGATTTAGGGGAGGGCAACCGGGGCTACTGCCCCAGGGCCTCCACAAAAGAGGGGCCCCCACAATAGAGACTTTGGAAAAAGCAAATTAAATTCAGAGTAGTAAACACTAGTAAGCAACTCTACCTTTCATATTTTTTTCGCCTTTTACCTTTCCCACAGTACTTTGTACAAACATGATTACATTAAATAAATCAATGAAATCAATGGAAAATAATTTGGGGCCAAGGGGCCTCTACTCCTTTGTTGCCCCGAGGCCTCCAGCCTCTAAATCTGTCCCTGCAGACATCAGCTTCCACTCTTCCACGAATGAGTGTCCACAGATTATGATCCTGGCTATGGCCGGCTAATCGTCGATTGTTTCTCTCTCTCTTTTTTATTAGTTGTTTATTGAATGTTACGTCGGGTCATTTACGGTTTACGAAATTTGGTATCATAATCAATCCCTTGCGGGGGATGTTGATGTTTGATTTTTATTTGTTTTTATTTTTTATTAAACCGATGCTACAATCGCTCAAATGTTGCACGTGCAGAGCGAGTACCTAATAAAATATCGGGCCTTAACATTTTTTTTACAATGTTTACAGTTCAACAATCCAAAATACGACAAATTTGGTTACCGCTCGGAATAACATTTATATTATGCACGCAGTTGACTAGAATTTAAAGTTCTTTTAGTGAGTTTCGCAGGCGGCGATTCGCGTCGTGTAGATTTACGCGTCGGACGCCACATAATTATGGATATATCATTCTTTTGTGACTTTTTAACCGACTCTTATTTCTTTAAAATTTTCGACCAAACCCGACTAGCTGTGTTTTACCAAGAAAGATACGAAAAGTACATAATTAGATAATTCATTGTTTGTAACAATATCTAACTTTACTTTTTTTGGTCTTACAATGCATTGAGTTATTCTTAATATGTATTTTTATATCTTTACAGTGTCAGCCGAAGCGATGACAGCGAGCAGAGGCCATTGAGGGCGGTCTACAAAAATGGTCGACTCGTTATGGTGTAGTTGTCTACGACCCTACTTGTCTATGATCTACAGACTTTTAAAGAAATATTAACAGTTTATTACTCTATGCTATAATTGTTTGTGATGGATATGCTATAATGTCTAAGACAAGGTGTGATTTCGAATTATTTTGATTTTATGTGTATATGCGTTGATGACGTGATTTTTCCTTTGTAGTTTAGTTATAACTAAATAGTCTAGTAGTTATCTCTAACATCATCTCAGTGTACGTATTCGCGATAACTTTTAAGTCTTATTATTACGTAGATATAACTTAATATTGATTGTATATTAGAATCTGTGTATCTAATGTTTTTTTTAAATAAATGTGCTTCCTAAAGTTCAATATGGGTATAGATAAAAACTCAGATATTTTTTATGATCCGTGTCGTAGGCTAAAAATATATCAACGTTTTCATGTGAAAAAATTTGATATTATTTTTGTAATTGAATAAAAAGGAGTATTTTGCTTTAAATTTTATTTATTATTTCGGCAAGTTAATCGAAAAATATCTTTGAATCACTGTAATCAAAACCCAAATACCTATAACCTAGTTATGGCTACAAACACTTAGATTCGAATAAATGAAAAAAAAAAATGTCACTAGTTTAGATTTAAAATCTAAAAATATGCTAATTGTTGTTTTAAGAATATAAAAATATTTCTAATCAGGACATCACACGAAGGGTAAGGGATGCTTTCCAGTAAAACAAGAGTGAATTCAACATCGATTTAATTACATCAGAAGTTGAGAGCCGCCGGCGCTCTGGCGCGCGGACACCGTGCAAAAATATATAACTGTGCCTCGCCGCGAACATATCTTCACAACAAATATGTATACATATAGCTATGATTTAGAATATCAACTACATAGTCAACAGAAAAATATAGAATGGCGGAGTTAGCGACGCGTCTATGGCCAAACTGTACTCAAGGGCCGTAGACAAAACAGCGTCTCTAATCTATGGACAGACTGTTTCGTCAATCATCTGAGGCCGTTATTAACACAAGGCGCGCCGGTTAACCCCGCCGCGTACATCTAAAATCATCACACCATGATATGACACCGTATATTCAATAAGTTCACAAACATACACCATTTAAATTATAATAATTTCCTATTACGTAGAATTAGCAATAGTGAACGTACTGTCGACGAACATTCCGATATTAAATGTTAAGCACCGGATACATTTTAATATATCTCGCTCGCGTTTGCATAGAAATCGTGCTGACAACAATTTTCCTTTACTCTTATTGCAATATAAAATTGCCTAATGTTTGCTATATCGTTTCTAATCAATCTGTGGTTACGGCTGTGTGTAGGGGGTTACCTTCTATGTCATTCCTGCTAAAAATTACAAAATTTAAACATTAGAAAATAGTTAATCAAAATTGACGTTTTCTAATACGGGCTTTTAGTTGAACAGATAACTTAAATACAAATGAAAGTTAGTGTGGAAGGGAGGGGGATTTTTACGTACGAATACTTTATCTAATTGATAGTTATAATGAATTAAACTAAGGTGTGGATTTCGTCCGTCAGCAGGATCCAATAGCGAGAGAAATGCGTATTTACAATAACAAACAGCACGACTTGTCGACGGGGTTTTTGAGCTGAGCACAGAGTGCCGCTCCCGCCGAATAAAGATGGAAGATGGAATCCTTTCTCACCGATAGGCATAGGTTAGGTACGACGTGGAATATAACAAAAGCAACGATCAATAGTCAACATCTCGGTTAGATTACACTAATCATATATTTAACACTACTACGACGAACATAGAATATATCTCTTGTTATAAGTATGGCTGTAGAGGGCGTCCCTATCGCCGGTATTCTGTACGACGGATGGTTTTACTAGCCGCTTGTGCCTTGAACTTGGACTGTTAGGTTGGTATGGAGCGCAAGGGGGTTCGGTGGATCGATGGGCGTTTATCTGTAGGCTGGCGCCGCGACCTGGTCCGCCAAGAACGGGTTGGAAGGCCTGGCGGGCGCAGCGCCTGGCACGCTCAGGCTGTCGGCACCCGCGTAGTTCTGCTGCAGTAAAATACGTCCATTATGAACAATAGCGTGAACTAAGTTTTTAACTTAATACACTAACATACTTGACTTAAACTTAAAAACTTAAAAGCTAATACTGACTAATTTAAGCGAAAACATTTTGAAGTGTTTTGAACTTTAACACTCAATAATCTCTTTGACAGATTAAAAATAATTGCAATAAATGTGAATCTTGTTTAATGCCCAAAATGAAATTGCGTATATATCGATATGAGTATGAGTTTTGTAAATAAAAATAAGATAGTGACCGCGCGACAGCGATTTAAACTTCGGGTTGAAATCCCAACGGCGTGTGACAATGGGCTCTCAGTTATTCGGTTTTCGGATACGCTCTATGTAAAAAAAAGGCTACCCGTCACTGTTTACGATAGCTATATCTGTTTACACTGTAAGGGTTATAAAAAGTGCGTATTTATATTTTTGTTTCATATATTTTGCTTATATAAACTATTTAATTTATAATTTAAAAAAAAACTACAATATATTATGTAAGAATTTAAGCTGACGAAATGTTTTTGACTTTCCCCGATGAAAGTATGATCCGTTGCTACAATCTGAAGTGCCTATTGATTCAATTCGTGTAACGTGTTGTTACTCAATTTGCCGTTTGTTGGCACAAGTCTAATGACTGTTTGTTCAGAATGGTATCTGTAAATATAACAGATTATATGTCGTGAAAAACTGGTGATGTTGAGAAGACAGCCAAGTTTATTAAGACTGTATTTTTGAAGTGAAACTTCTTTATCGGGGTTGGAAAATATTTAGTGTAACATTTTTGCGTTACGCGCCATCTTGTTCTTAGTGGTTTTAATAGTTGACGCTAGATGGCGTTAGTTCCTTTGTGTGTTCATAACTATATATATATATATGTTATATTAAAGTGATCAGCAAAATCAAAGGGTTTATTTTAATTCTAATATGTAAACAATATATTTCGTATTTCAGTTACTATAAGCCATTAATAACACAAATATATAATAACGACATCAATGATAGTAATAATTCTATTACAATTAATGAAATTCAATAATAATATTTGTAGTAATGACAGTGCTAGCTCTAATACTTCAGAGCACGACACTGTAGAGACTTCCTCTTCTCCAAAGGCAGGCACCGCCCACCGTGACCTGACTGCGCGTTCCACTGAAGACACAATCTGAAGCTGACCGATGATGCTCTTCGAAGCCTCCATTGGCTCCTGGACCTTGCGGTTGCGACGTCGATCCAACGTCCGCAAGTTCGGTTTTAAAACTTAACTCACAACACTCGCGCGCGAGTCGAATGTCTGCCTTCTACTCACTGGCTGATTATTCGGCAACGAAGGACCATGTACAAATTCAAAGCGGTTGTATTTTGGGTCCGTGAGGTTCATTGAAATAAACAAGGTACAACGCGTATAGACGCTCTTACCAACTCAGCTAAGCGGCCCATGACCTCAGTGTGAAAATCTCAACATCTATCTACTTTCTTTATAGCTTTATTAGCAACTAGCGCCCCTGCTTCGGACAGGTGCAATGCATTAATTATATAAATAATTAATACATATAAACCTTCCTCTTGAATGAATCTATCTAATAAAAAAACCGCATCAAAATCCGTTGCGTAGTTTTAAAGATCTAAGCATACATCGGGACAAAAAGACTTTATTTTATACTATGTTACTTATGGTCGGTGCCATCTAGTGCGCACACCTTGCAGTATTATGCATGCACTTTAATAATGACCCTACGACATACATCGGTTACAAACGCTAAAGAATATAAGAAAGAGTAAATATAAAGATTGTTCCTTTTTGAATCTTAAAAATGCGACCGTTATGATTTCCAATTGACTTTAAAAATAAGAGTGAATTCACTTGTCATAATGAGATATCGGGGATTGGAGATCGTAGCAAGTTGCCAAGGTATTGGCTTCGACGTCGGGGTCGTGTGTTCGATTCCCACACGGGACAACTATTTGTGCGACCCACAGTTAATTGTTTCGCATCTGGGTGTTTGTCCACGTGGAATTTATTTATTTTGTAAAACGTCCTCACAGCACAGGGTAATGTTATCCTAAAGTAATGGCAATGTTTAAAAAAAACGATGTCAAAAAGTTGTCGTTGGTCACCATGGTAATACCGTGAAGTAAGTTGCAAGGTTAGTGTGTTTCATGTCGTTTTTTGGGAGTCGGAGTGTGCGCGCATCGAACATAATTTAAAAAAAACACTTTACCATGGCATGTTTACCTGTGTTGCGCCGTACGAGTCGTGGTGGGCGAGATCGGCTAGACGGGTCGAGGAGAGCGCTCGGGGCAGCGGGTTGGAGGGTACCCCGTGGGGGGCGAGCACCCCCGTGTCGGCCAGGGCGCGCGCCTCCTCGCTCTCCACGTCGCCACCAGCGCCCGCGCCCACCTCCGCCCCCCCGCGGAAGTTCACGAAAGCGAACGCCGCCAGCGCAACGCCGCAGAGAAGACCGTAACCTGGGCGTAGATCGTGGCATGTTGTCATGACCATATAGTTATGTCATTATGTTACGTTATGTCATGTCATTATGTCATGTAGTTGTGGCATGCACAATCATATGTGACTGATGTCAGTAATGCATCAGGAAACTGAGGTGTGGCCCCGCAACAGTATTCTCTGTTGCGAGAAGGGGCAGGTCCGTCTGGGAATTACCATGACTGGCATGAAGTGTTGAACTGAAATGTGGCAAATGAAATGTGGCAACGTATGTGCAACCCTACGGGTGTTACAAATAGCCATGGGTGGCAGATAATACTTAATTATAAACTGAACCGCCATCTCGCTTGCCACCTGCTGACATTAAAAGAATTGAAGCTCTTGCTGAGCTAGTAGGATACACCAATAGGTTTTAGCGAGTTAAAAACAAATGAAAAATTTACAAATAAGCCGTGTGGAAATATACCAAATGAGCCCTATGGCAGTTGGACA